ATGGTGATGGCCTGGAAAACACTCAAGAGGCAGGTATTTCCCATAGACACACCTCTGCCCACTCTGTGAACATGGAAGACAAGTTTGCACTCAATATCACTCAGGGAACACTTTAACACAAAAGCAACTATTATCTGTGGAACTCTTTTAAAGAGTATGACCAAGGAGTTGGTTATAGCCAGGTGCTTGATAATCAGATCTGTAGACCTCATTGTGCATCTGGTGAAATAGAGGAAACCATAATGGTAAAGAAGAAGGAAATTCCCTAGGAATCCAACTATGGTCTGAGATAAGAAGATCACTCCTATTGTCAAGTCCTTGGAGGCCATATGTCATTTTATCAGTGACTGATAATTGCACTCAAAGTGGAGGATCCTGCATGGAAACATGAGATCTTTGTTGTCATGGTAAAGGAATTCTAACATCATTCACTTACTGTTGTTTTCAGTGATAAATTTCTTAGTAAAAACCTTTTCCTTTCTCTAAGACTTACCTTAGGAAGACAGAAATTTTGTACTATATATATATACAAACACACATATATATATATATATATGTACATGTATACATGTATATATATCCCAGTATAATAGTAATATATTAGTAAGGTTATTAAAATTAATTTTTTCTATGAAAGAAAGACTCAAAAAGGTACACACAGAGGCACCCTCAACAACAGTGTCTCACACTAAGACCCTTCCACCAGGCAAGTACAGATTGACTCATGAACTGAATTCTGATTGTATGGATCAAGCATTATAGAGCTGCTCTTTTTTGTTTTTTGGAGAGATTTTTGCTATAGGGCATGTGTGCTCAGCAGAAAGAGACAGAGAGACAGAAAGTGAGAAATCACACCCCAGCGGGAGTGGCCATGCTGCAATCCCTTCTCCATTCTCCTCTTTAAGACACTGGGTCTGGGACTCGAACCACAGTCGACTACGTGGGAGTCTAGTGACAGCCATTACTCCAACTGCTGGTACCCATCATGACTTTCTTACATTATAATTTTACACTTAAGTTTACAGCAATTATAAGAATTAAGTAATTTTTACTTTCGTTTTACAGATGAGGAGACTTTAGGCACAGGAAAGATGAAAGATATTCCTTTTTTAACATTATTTATTTAATTTTATTTATATTATTGTATTTTAATTTGACCAGATAGAGATGGAGGAAGAGAGAGAGAGGAAAATTGAGAAAGCAAGCCTCCTGGTCTGGGACTTGAACTGCATTGGCCATGTGGGAGTCCAGCACCTTAACCACTATACCACATGCCAGCCCCAATAGTCCTTTTTTTTGAGAGATTTTTGCTATATGGCATGTGTGCTGACTGGAGAGACAAAGAGAAAATGTCTTCCAGGGAGGTTGGCCACACCACAATCCCTTCTCCTCCATTCTTCTCTTGGGATTTTGGGCACACACACACACACACACACACCTGGCATGAGTTTCCAGCCTCCAGATTAAGGCTCAAACCATGGTCAGCCATGTGGGA